ATGCGTTGAAAAACAAATTTGATTTGAAATTTCTTGGACCGGTCACAAACTGTTTAGGGATGAAGGTAGTGCGCGATAGACAAAAAAGGTACTTTAAGTTTATGTCAAAATCAATATATAAAGAGTTTGTTAAGTCGCTTTGGTATGTCAGAGTGTAAACCAGTGACAACACCTATGGCTATAAATGTTAAGTTGAACAAACCGGACAATAGTAATACAGTAAACAATTCAGATTATCCATATCAACAATTGATAGGGGGATTGATGTATTTGGCGGTTTGTACTCGTCCAGATGTAGCATATGTTACCAGTACTCTAAGTCAGTTTAATACTTGTTTTGATGACACGCACTGGTGTGCAGCAAAAAGAGTGCTAAGATATCTAGCTGGTACTAGTGACTATGGACTCATGTTTGAAAAAACAGGAAAAGGAATAGAAGCCTTCGTCGATGCCGATTGGGCAGGAGACATTGTGGATAGGAAATCATATACTGGATTTGTGATGAAATTAGGAAATTGTGCTGTAAGTTGGGAATCGAGAAAACAGCGAACAGTAGCTCTTTCTAGCACGGAGGCCGAATATCTTGCATTAAGTGATGTGACAAAGGAAGCGTGTTTTATAAGGAATTTGCTTAATGAGCTCTATGACAGAACGGAAACAATTTAGGTCTTTAACGATAGTCAGAGTGCACAAAAGATACTGAATAATTGTCAACATCATAGAAGAACAAAACACATAGATATTAGACATCACTATGTGCGAGAAGCAGTAAAGGAAGGCATTATTGTTGTGAAGTACAGACCAACTGATGATATGGTAGCGGATGTATTAACAAAGGCCTTATCAAGAAACAAACATAAATTATACATGAAGCAACTTGGACTGAAACAAATTTAAAGATATGTGATTAAGGGGAAGTGTTGAGACTAAGATTTAAGTGTATCTACTCAATAATCTTTAAGTTGTCTTTACAGTTTTTAGTTAAATATTAATCAAGTTGATATAAGTCAGTTGAATTATATGATAGAAATACAAACTGTAATCTGTTATGATAATACATATTTATTCGCAAAACAAGTCTTATAATCATTATTACTGCTATATCTATCAAAAGTGTTGAAACTAACATAACCCAAAATAATCACTTCTTGTAGTTTGCAAACTCCCATTATATACAAAAGTGGAGAATTATATGCATGCGGAGTTGTTTGACAAAAAGTTAGAAGGGAAGTTGTTTACAATAATTGTGTATCTGGGTGAATTTTGTATGTGGTTTATTTATCGTATGGCAGCAGTAGAATGGGAAGACGCACATGAGTAAATTTAATTTAACCTTGTGTTTGATGCGAAATGTTACATCTTGTAGTGGTCATGTATTTAATATTAGTTTTTGTAATATTAAGATTACATAATATATGACTAGCAGTTGATTAAATTTGCTTATCTATGAATTGTAATATGAGTTGTTGGTAGTTGTTCATTCAAAGAAAAAGGATACGTTGCTGAGAGATAGAATAATACGGCCTATAGTAGTATGAGTATAGATGAATCGCTAATCGCCAACTAAGTTCGACCATTCACGTGAAAATTTTACTTTAGTAAATTGGGTAAAAAAAAGTAGACTTTAGAAATATAATATATATAATTGGAATAATATGATAACTGTGATCCTAGCTACAAGTAGACTTCACTGAATTGCTCGAAAATGGTACGATTCTCTGAAAGAACAATGTCTTCAATGGGACGAGATGAAGATTATACTCCTCGAAAGCTTTTTGCAAAATTATTAGCAGAAGTTTCTAATTATTCACATGTTCCTACACAAAAATTTGGTGATTATTGTTTGGAAAACTCGCAAGGTAAAGAAGCTGAACCTAGATACTAGCGGTGAAAATATTATTGACTTTAATTGAGGATATAGGAAACGAAAACCAAAAACTTTCCGCTAGAGCAGCCAACTTTAAATCAGTAGGGTATTTGGTAAATTATTTAGACCATGCAAATAGCACACCCTGTGTATTGAATTACCATGCTAACTCTGGTACCTCAAAGAGTCGAGAACATAAGGGAATACGTCAAAAAGAAATATTAATATGGAACCCAGGGATCATATTTCTAATAGTAATTAGTTTCTTGCAAAGTGTGTAATAAAGTTGGTCACTCTTAAGAACCTAAGAAAGAAAATGTAAATTCCGCCTGCTATATGAACGAAAGTGTGTATCTGAAAAATGCTTTAATTAATGGATATCTAGTTAAAAACAGCTTAATAGACAGGTAGCTCTTGTACTATAATAAAGAACTCGATAGCCGGGACATGAATACATCGATCTCTTCGATTTCTATATACATGTGTTTCTATCGTTACGTTGTTTCAGGGGTAACATTATCTTGTAAAGTTTATTACAAAATTATTTGCAACATAAAAAACGTCGGCTACTTTGACGACAGTAAAAGGTAAAAGGATCAAAGGAGCCGACGTTTTTTATGTTGCAAATAACTTTGAAGTAAACTTTAAGTATTGTTAAAATAAAAATAGATGAGGCCCTGCTAACGTGAAAGCTATAATAATAAGGACAGTTTACTACAATACTACGCCATAATTGGTTGTGATTATCTATATCAATCCCATATTACTATGGTTACAGTAAATTACGCACCAAAGCTTAAAAATGTGACTTCAACTTGCTGCAAGGCAAGAACCATCAATTCAAATTTGAATCTAACAACGCGACATAGACTTTGGTGATTTAACGCATTCTGAAAAGGCGCAATGTTTTAAGTTATTAACAAGCCATATCGATAGAATAACTTTTATGTTTAAAGATTTTGGCAAGACCAACCCCGTTGAAATGCATATAAAGTGTACAACAAATGAACTAGTGGTGTATAATCCTTATCAGATGTTTGCTTCTGAGAAAGAGATGCTAGGTGCTATGATAAATGACCTTGTTAATGGCACTATAAGAGAGTCTGTCTCATTCTAGGCTAGACCTGTGCTTCATGTTTAGAAAAAGACTGGAGATAAATATTGTTTAATCTTAATAGAGGACTAAATTAATATGTTGGATAATGATAAGTACTTTACCACATCAGATTCCTGTTGCAGAGGACTCTATCGAGAAGACAGCTTTTGTCACTCTATTCTCACATTATGAGTTTTTGAGGATGGCTTTCGAGCTGGCAAATTCACCGGTATTTTTTTCAAAAATTAATAAATACTGTCGTAAAAACTTCAATAAATAAAACTGTGTTCGCATATATGGAAAATCTAATAATACCGTCGTCTAGTGTTGAGCAAAGAATGAATAGATTAAATGAAGTACTAGAAGCTTTGCGTGTTTACAACTTGAGTTTAAAGTTAAGTAATTATAACTTCTTCTTGGTTCAAGAAATTAGCTATGAGGAAATTAAACGGGGAGAACAAAAAAATTCAAGATATGAATACTCCTTCCAACATAAGGGAAGTTCGACAATTCTTAGGGCTCTCAGGATATTTCTGCAAATATGTTGCGAATTACGCCAGGATCGTTGAGCTGCTTATACGACTGCTCAGAAAAGATACATTGTTTCTTTGATTAACAGAGCAGCAAAAGGTATTTGAGAAGGTAAAATCGATCCTGATAACTAGACCAATATTGTCAATCTTTAATCCCGCTTTACCAATAGTTACCCACGGATGCGAGCAGTCTAGGATTTGGTGAAATGCTAGTTCAATTTGAAAATGCCAGTTTGCGTGTTGTCGCATATTTTAGCAAACAAACAAGTCCAAAATAACGAAACTATCATTTCTATGAACTTGAGACACTTGCGGTTGTTCTATCTTAACGATGTTTCAGAGTCTACTTGTTTGGAATATCATTTAAAGTTATTACAAACTGCAGCGCTCTACGAACTGTATTCACTAAGGATCTAATTCCTAGGATAGCTCAATGGTGGCTACAAGTTCAAGAATTTGAAATTGCTCACAGACTTGTGTCCAATATAGAACACATCGATGCTCTCAATCGAAGCCCCGTCGAGAAATATGCGTACATTGCACCCATTGATGTGACGGAGGCGGAATGGATTTTAGCGACTCAACTGCAGGATGATCAATTGTTGATGATTAAGAACATACTCAGAGCCAATGTTGTGAATAGATATACTAATAGTTCGAAAAATACGAATGGTAAAACGACTAGAGAATAACAAATTCTTACGGAACGTTCCTAGATCATACCGGTGGCAAATATGTAAACTGTGCCACGATGATAATGGTCATTTTGGCTTCGAGAAGACCTTGAAAAATTTTTTGAGGAGTATTGGTTTAGGGGTATGCGACGGTTTGTACATAAGTATGTTAATGCCACCCTAAATTGCCTATATTATAAACAATCAAGCGAGAGAAAGCAAGATAATATGTTGCATCCAATAGAAACGATCTCGATCCCTTTTAACACTCTGCGTATCGACCATCTTGGCCCATTTGTAACCAGTACAAAGCGAAATAAATATCTTCTGATAATTATAGACGGATTCACCAAATTTACCTTCATCGATGCCGTAAGTGATACTACTGCTAAGTTAGTAAAGAAAGCTTTATTCGACGTAATCCATATATTTGAAGCCACAACAAGGATATCAGACAGAGGCTCAGCATTTATAATAATACATTTAGAGTATACTAAGGATACTTGCCTCTCACTCTGCAGTCCCTGGTTCGATCCCCGGTCGAGGAACTAGGATTTTTTTCAATCCAGAAATTAATGCTAGCATACTCAGATATTGGGGTGTGTCAATTGTCTCTAAATATGTATCGCTCTCCCGCATTGTAATATAAGAAGAGTTGATGGCAGTTGTTCATAGATTAAATAATTAAACACCACAGGCAATACAACCCCCTGTATCCCTGAAGGTATCTCAAGAAAACTTGCGTGGGAGAGGGCTACACATTTAGAGACAATGGACATACACAAAGTGGCCGAGTATACCAGGATTAATTCCTGGTTTAGAAAAAATTCTAGCTCCTTGACCGAGAATCGAACCCGGAACTCCTGGATAAGAGACAAATGTCCTTACTACTCGACCACGAAGCCACAGATATTCGTACCGAACGGTTGATTGTATTGTAAATAATTTATTAAATATTGTGTTATTATAAGTAACATAGTGGTATTCGTGAACGTAGTTTTATTACTCAGTTCAGTTCTATACTGCCGGTAAAAAAAGGTTTCTGGATTTTGGGTTTAAATTCTTAAATACGGTTTCACCGCATTTTAGGAAAAAGGGGGTACAAGCAAATTTTAATGATTAATATTTAAAATTTGACTGTGTTTAATGATACATTTAATAAAAAACCGGCCATTGTGCCTGAAAATAAACGTATGTTATTATAAGTCAAATGCTGCGTTTTCTTGTACTTGTAGTCCTTTTCACTGGCGTTGTATATTAAATACTTAAATTTTAACATATGTATTGTTTAATAATTGTAAAGATTTTCGATACCATGTACCAACCCCCAGAGTTTCAAAGTAGCCAAGGACATAGGTTTGCCAACCTCAAATTCATTGACCCCCTTATAAATTGTGACATTCGTTCAGTTATTAATATTACTTCAGCTATTTGATTTTAAAAGTATACAGTGTATGTTTAGCTCAGTTTAAAGACATTTCTTTCTGAATTCAGCAGTAAATAATATATTATCATTATCTTCCATATTTAATAAGACATTTAAAAAGTAACACCAATATATCTTTCAAAACAGTCATCTATGAAAACAAATAAAAACGTTTAAGTAATAAATAATTCATTTATTTCAAAAATTAAACTAATTGTATTTATTTTATATAATTAGAATGTTTTATATAATATTAGGCCACTCACTGAAGATTGATGATTCGTTTAACTTTTTTTTATAAATGAGAAAATTAATAAGTCGCCACTGATTTAAATTCCTGTAATCGACTACAATTATTATTCAATTTGTAGTAAATTAAAAAACATTTTTATCACAGCATTTTTTTATTCTATTAACTTTTGCAATAACCCTGGATATCATTTGGAGAATGTGGCGCCTATGTTAATAAACAATTTTATAAATATTTATAATTATTATTTGCGATAAAGCCGCTTGAATAAAATATCAATTAATCATTCAGATACAATCTTATTGCAAGATGTTATACACTTAACCAATGTAATAATAAACATGGTTTTTTGCTTGAATCTTGACATTTGAATACTTTATAAATTCTGTCGTTAATGTCTATATTAAAATCTCTTCCTCCATTGTAAAAAAATTAAAAAAATATTTTCGTCATTTTTATGACGAGTAAAATTCAGAAGTGGCAGCTCCGAAAAAATGTTTATTTATGGAACATTTACTCTTTGAGAGTACTAAAAACTGTTCTGTGCAGAAATTTGTAACTTGTTTTGTTGGACATTAAATATGAGATGTGGCGAATAATGTCTGTGAATGCAGTTATTAACCCCAAATCTCAAATTATTTCCATTTCAATTTTAGCTTTTTTATGTTATATCAATAAATAATAAATCATAGATTTATGTACATTATAAATTCCTAATAAATTATGTAAATTAATAATCTGGGAATTCCATTACTAAAGTACATTTTAATATACATTTGTTAAGTATGTTTTTTAATCCCCACATTTTACATTCAAACTGCAAAACCTGAAATAAAACTGTACTTTAGAAAATTACAGTTATACAAAAAAACGTTTTTCTCTTTTGAACCACCTACCTATATTTTAAAAATATATATAATTTTAAATAATTGGAATAATAAATAAAGCCAATTAAAGACGAAAAAAATTTGTATTATGATATGATAAAGAAAGAAAAATCTAAAATGTAAATGTTAAAAAGTGAAAAAAAACCTTATAACAATTTTTTAAATAAGCACCTATACATTAAACTTTTACAAAAAAGATACAATATGTACGTAACTAGATATTAAACTAACCGTCTTATATATCTGGTATTATAAGTATAATTTCTGATTTCAAGTCAATAAAACGGGGAGTATATATTCAAGGCCCTGTTGTGTGTCCCCTTTTATTTGTTAAGGCCAATATCAGTATTCTATGTCAATGGAGTGTTCTTTTTTTTTAACACGCTTTTATTAGCTTCACTTGTTTGTTTGTTTGTTTGTTTGTAACCGACTCTTTGGACTCGATTTTGACCCATTTTAAACGGACAGATTTAATTGAAACTTTGTACTATTACGAAGAACTGGTAACAATACAATAATTTGATAAGTTTATATCATTATCCTGATCAGGATCGCCAGTCCTTTCCTCACGTATCCTCTGCATGAGAGCTAGAGGCTTAATATTGTAAGTATATTCCGTGATTCTCAGTTCGGTCGTTGGCCGAGCGGGCAAGTCTTAGTCGACGCGAAACGATGGACTCCTCGGGCGTGAGTTCAAATCCCATGGCTGAAATAAAAAAAATTTTTTTTTTTCAGAAATATCTGTTGGATCGTAATATGTTATAATATCAGCATCAATAAGCAATATAAATATAGTTTAAAAAAAACTACAAAACACGCTTTCATAGCACATCAAACTAAAAAGTGAAAAATAAATATAGTTTAAAAAAACTAAAAAAACACGCTTTTAAAGCACATCAAACTAAAAAAGTGAAAAATAATTATTAATATAAACTGAAAACAATAATGAACGAAAAATACTAGTATTATTGTGAAAAAAGCGTGGGGCGCTTTGTGCCATATTTTTCGTATATCGAGCAACCCACGCTTTTTTCACAATAATACTAATATTTTTCGTTCATTATTGTTTTCAGTTTATATTAATAATTATTTTTCACTTTTTAGTTTGATGTGCTTTAAAAGCGTGTTTTTTAGTTTTTTTAAACTATATTTATTACCACCAACCTCCGTTAATTTAAGTAGTTTTCAACGGATACGGATGCTACATCAAATGAACCTATGCTATTAGCATAGCAGTGTAGCCATAAAACAACTTAGATTTGCTGAGATTGATGGTAGAAAGAACGCACCTAATAACACAATTTTCCAGTTTTCCATACAATTTTACAAAAAAGAAATCACCTACTTATCTTAATTACAAAAAATCGATGTCGACTAGGTGTTCCTCGACGCTCCTTTCTAATCATCATATTCAATTTGAAATTAAAGAAATAATTTATTAGAGAGAACTAAAACCTGTGATATAAAATCCATTTACCTTCGTTCTGAGGGGAAACTCCTCTACAATATACATGGTGGGGCAATAGTGCATCGGACCTCGATATCTCCAGTCCTACGATAGCTAGAAATTAAAAAAAATATATACAAGTAAACTAGATAAAAAAGTCTGTAACCGGAAATTATTTCCGAATATACACGGCGACCCAAGACGACATTACGGGATCAAGTGTATTTTTTTAAATGGAATGCTATGTATATTAGTACATGTTTTGATGCCTCTTTCTAGACTCTATTCCGAGATATTAAAGTCCGATGCACTATTGCCCAACCCTGTATATAAAAAGTATTGAAATCCATTCTTAACATGTTTGGTAGTCCCCTTGTTAGCCTCTGTTTAGAGTGTCTTTCTGTTTAAATTTACGGACACACTTCTTCTATTCGACGACTTAGATCTTCTAGGTTGGTAAACGGTTCTCGTCTTTGTGAATACACTTTTTCTTGTAATGTATTCTATACTAAATAGTCCAATGGATTACAATCAGGAGAATTGGGTGGTCACTGATATAAAAGATGGCACGCTTCTGCTAAGAAATGTTGTGTGACAGGGCACCATCCTGAATAAAAATATAATCATTTTTCGGGTACAACCGGCGCATTTCAAGTATAATATCATCAGGTGCAAATGGTGGACGTAGTTATCTGCATTGGTTTTTATCAACTGCATATTAGTAAAAAAATAATCGACTTTTGCCATTCCAGGGTATTACTCAGGATCCCATGAGCTTCTTAGAAAACCTGGACTTGTAGTATAGACGTTCATTTTGAATAGAGTTATTTCTTGTAGTTGAATGAACTCTGTTCTTTTACCTATCTTTTGAGCTACCTGCGTGGTATTCCCTTCCCAAGGTTTAAAGTAACAAAGTATAGAAGATTACTGCGGGATGAGATATAATAGGAAGAAAATGATCATGGGTAATGCACGCAAAAAAGGATGAATTACGCAGGTAGCTATAGTTGCCTCCGTGGCAATATTGTCTGTTGCCCTGTAAACACGGGGTCTCTCAATTTCAGCTACAGATGAGCGACTGACTTCCTGTCAGTGGTTTCCTTTATGTTGTTGAACCTAAGTTGTGCCTATCCTTATAACTTATAGCCACCTTGATAACGAGTAGTGATTCAGAAATACGTGTCGGCGAATTCATCCTTTATGTAGTTTAAATAATACTTATAACACTGAAGATACTGAAGAAACTTCTATAAATGTAATTGGAATGACCGTTGCAAATCCTTCAAGTCGTCAAATTGAAACTGATGGTGGGATTTCAAGACATCGAGTTTTGGGTATTTTGAAGACACACAAATTCAGGCCTTATACAATAAGGAAACAAGATCACCTGCAACCAACTGATCCTCAGCGACGATTGGAGTTTTGCATACGGTATCGTCAAAAAAGTCAATAAGATCCATTCTTCTCTAGAAATGTAGTTTGGACAGATGAAGCCTACATTAGCAGTGCAGGAATTTTCAACAGGCATAAAGAGCGCTATTGACCTGATATGAACTCCCATCATACCGTTGACGTGCGATCTCAGAGATTCTTTGGATTTATTGTTTGGTGTGCTCTACGTGGCAATCAGTTCTTCCAACAAGATGGTGTACCACCTCATAATCTCAGGACCGTTTCAGAATTATTAAATACCAATATTTATATAACTGCAATATTTAAATAACTGGATGGGAAGTAACGGACCAGTGAAGTAGCCACGACGATTACCTGACTTAATGCCAATGATTTTTTTCTTTTGGGGCCACATTAAAGACAAATTATACAAGAAAACCAGTACCGACATAAATGAACTCAAACAAAATTTTATAGACTGTGTGAATTCCATTTCAAATCTT